AAGCAACGACTTTCCATATAATTGATTCGTGAGTGGCCAATAAAAGCCGATTGAACTGTGGTATATTTTGGTTAACCACTCGGTACGATCTCAACTGATTCCATAAATAGGATTTTGGTCTTTGACGCTCTATCTAGGACGTCAAGTTCAAATAATCCTATTACTCTTCGTAGAGTGGTTTATTTTAGTCATAATTACCACAATGTAAGGACATTCGGCTTCTCTTATATCCCTAGCAAAGTGACTCAACGCAGGATTATGCGGGGCGTGCAAAAACGGAGAAACTTAAGACTTTCACTGTGGCTGCAATTTACGCACTACCTTAAGTAGCTTATTAATTCATTGCTGAAAGTTACTTCTTCAAACCGAAGGCGCTTGCATTTCATACCATCTGCTACTAAATAGTTCTTTTATGTCTTGCCTCCACAATTAAAGGCATGGTGGGATCCAGGCCTGATCTGCTTTGAGACCTGAACTCGTATGTCTAATTTTGCAACAGTTTTTTCGTTGCATCAGTGTAACAGAGTGAACTCCATGTACAGCGTTTGATCCTCTCCTTTAGCTATTAATCACGATATTATTGTTAAGGCTTCTATATGTGATACTTCTTAACCTGGTTTTCAAACTTTTCTGATTAGACCGTTGATGATGAGAATTCTGATTACGCCAAGACAGCTACTCCAGTTTCTACCCCGAACGATCTTCTAGTGGGATCGAATAGAGTACCCCGGCACCCCAGTTTGCATTCCTTCACTACCGTCGCTGCCTCAACGGTCACTCCCACCAACCTCTCTTCTCCCTCTTCCTCTTTCCCTCGCTCACCCTACACACACCGGCATAGGGACAGTGAACGTCGAAGCTCTTCACCTGGAGCTAATGGAGAGCAATTCAAACGGTGGCCGAGGGCGAAGTGCCGGCTACCCCGTCAGCGACTGGAGGCTATGGGTTCCGTAGAGGCAGTGGAACTCTTGGAATCCACTTGGAAGGAGACAAATACCTTCAATACTACTGTTTCTGCCGGCAACAGCAACATTGGGGACGAAGACATTGATAGTGAAACTCGTATTCCCTCACCAGTGAACAAAGGTAGGAGAACAGGCGGAATTGATTGGCCAATCAAAGTTGCTGCATAAGGAATAGTAAAGTCAAGAGCTAAGTTAAAATCCAACTGTCAAATTGATACAGCACGCCGTTTTTTCGACAAACAAGTTCACATTTAGCCATAGTTTTCATTAATTTCCTTCCGGATGCATAAGAGCTGATGCACTCCCAGACATGACCGCAGTTATTGCTAACGATGAACCGGGGTTTTTTAAATAAAATCAAATCAATCAACCGTCTTTGGAGAGAGGGTTATGATGCATTGCATTATGTTGCAGACTTCGGAGGACTCGACTCTCTGAAATGTTCTCTTTTTTATTTCGCGTATGCTAAAATAGTATTAATCCTGAAGTAAGCAAGGTGGTTTGTTATCGCCCACCACTTTTCCATTGTGTTACGTATATCTTTTGATTTCCCACCCAATGAGTATTTATATAATATATATGCTGTGAATTTGATCTGAACCAAGTGATGGTAGTAAGTAATGTTTAGGTAAGAATATCGACTTGTGAAAACAGTATGACTTCTCTATAACACCTCTATCCCTCTGCTAGGCAGGCAACAGCTTATTTGTACCCGCTGTAGGAATAAGGTAAGAAGACGAGGAATCCTAATTGAGCACATGTTGTATTTTTCGCTAAACATGTGTGATCATCCATCATACCCTTCTTCCTTTCAATGCCTCATCGAAGCAGTGAGCAGTGTCACTGGTAATACTTGCTAACAGCTCTTTACACAGAGTTTAGTAGAGTCCAGTTGGTGAGGCTACTATTTGCTTGCAATTCATATTCGCCTTCACAAAAAGAAGAGCTGTTCAATGCGACTGTATCCAGATCGAGCCATGCGATGTCCAACATATGCATATGCGACGCTTTTGAAGCAAATATTTGCAATTGCAATCTCAACCTCCTCTTCCTGTTGGTGCCCCAAAATCATCATAAAACGGATAGGTAGCTGCATCATTGTGGCCAATGACTTGCCCTCTTCTACATTTTAAACGCATTGCTCTACCTCGGCCATCTCAGACTGCGCAAATTGCTTGCCTACCTCTCACAATCTGTTCGCCATAAATCAACCGCTGGTATTGTCAAACACCAAAATATGCTTTTAAAATCCGACCATCCGCTAAAATTGTCTTAACTTTTGTTGTTAACATAAAATATTAGATGCGACGGTTCCATCTAGACCCTTCCCATTAACTAATAAGCTCTTTAGCTAGGCCTTTTTACATCGATATTGAAGGTTTGAGCCCTAGAAATTATCCAACAACAGTTGTTCCCTTCTTTATTACTTATTTACATCATAGTTATGTCAGCATCAACGTGTATATCACCTCCCAACTGCTAGTTCATTAGCCGCAACACTCATTGAGACAGCCAGCATTGAGAGAACGCTATTTTTTTTGGCTCCACTAAGGCAACATTTGCGACTCTTCACAATGAAGGTGCGAAATGGGGAAAAACCTCTCGTTTGACAGCCTCTAAGCGAAGCCCCACACCACAAAATCACATTCTTATTATTTTAAACGCACTTGAGAATATTGTTGTCCTCTTTCACCTTCCTGCCCCCGATTTGACCCGCCTTTGCATTTTCGTTGCTAGCTAGTTTTTCAAACCTTTTTGCGTAAAAATGCTTGCGGAAATTGTGGCCTAGATGCAGAAAACTAAGTAGCCTGTATCACATGATTAGGAAACAAAGTTAGGTCCAAGGGCCTCTTTCACTTTGCTTCACGTTAAACTTCGATGAGCTTTTTTATTACTACGCGTGATATGTTGGAAAAGCAACAATCTTTTCCCTTGAGTAACACCTCATCTGCCAATACTGATGCTCATATAATTTCAATCCCTTCAACCAATCTAAATTGATAAAATTTTTAAAGCGACACCAAAATGTACTCACTCCTCGATGAAATTAAGGTCTTAGAGGCTTAATTCTTATTTCACCAATGCCAAACCACAGTGCCGTGCCTTGTCATATGCCACAAATTGTTTTTCTTGTCATGAGATATAAAATTTATCCCAGGCCTCCCTTATTCCTCGTATCGTTCCCACCTCAGAGACACGAAGTACATGAAAACACTTGACGGGGTCTAGCCCGCTTTACTGGTTTCTGGAGCTTTCCTCTTGCTAGTTAATGACTGGCTTTTCCGTAGTCTGCTGAACCCGCCTGTTTTGGAAGGTGGCGTAAAAATAAATGGCAACGGATGCAAATCATGATTAATGTGGGCACAAAGCAACCGAACCCACAAAATACCTAGTGTTTCTAAGTGCATTTTTTTGTTTTGAGCTAATTGAAACGTCAGATTTACGAGCTATCTTTGAGCTAGAATTGAAAATGCGGGCATTTTTTATGGTCACCTTCCTTAATACAGCTACATTAAATGCTTTCTGATCACCACCGCTGAGACTTTTAGACTGAGACTGCGGTTCCGCCTAAGAGGCAATTCCCCAAGGAAAAGCCTGCTTACCTGCGGCTAATAACGCTTTAGTAATACGATAGTAAACTTATTTACTGACTTGAGTTTTTTGCTTTCCTCTGACCAGGAATCACTGACTTCATCGACTTGGCAACACTATTACTTTGAATGCAAGGAACTTAGTGGGTAAATGATTGTAGAAACCTGAGCCGTCAGCCTTTTGCAGTCATTGTTTGTTATAAGACTCACATTGACCAATGGGCAGTGCACTTGTGGTAGTTGGTATGACCCTTCGGAGTTGACACGGACTCGTAGCATGCGTGGATTACAAACGAGTCTGGGAGCTCTTGCACTGCTTAACCTCAAGTGAATCCAAAATCTGCTACTTATGCGAAAGAAGTAAACACGAAAATGTTTCGAATGATGTCAGTGCTGCGATCATTCATCTCTGGCAAATGCTACTGCCTCTTTTGTGATCATGAACACATTCGCCAATTGAAAGGCTTTCTTCATCAACGTAACTGATGACAATGAAAAGCTTTGTGGGGTATGGGAAGTGTGCGCAATCTTCTTGATTGACGGAGGAACATCGGCCACAGCATGCCGCATGTTTTGATGTTTGAACATGGCAATCCAAACTATTTAATTATCTTCTGAATTCAGTACAACCAGCCAGTATAAATTGAGAGGAGGCATATGGGACGGGTTTATGGCATCAGGCTATAATAAAGGAATCGCGGAACCGTATAGCTGGAACACTTATGCTAAATGCATTCCCATGCTCTGTGGCTCAGTGGCAAAACAACTTTGATTGGTTAAGCTATAAATGGTCTGAAGAAGAAAGATGTAATCACGTTTAAATCTCCTAGTCCGAAAAAAGAACCACAAAATACAGGTATTTAATGTAGAGTTTTCAACCTTTTGAAGTCAATCTACTCAAAATGCCTTTGCGGATGAGTGATGCACCAAAATCCTTGTGCTAAAAATTCAAAGAGAAATCGGTAACGCTTACCAAGCCAAGGATGTGTGGGACTCCTCTACACCAAGGATGGAATTTAGAATAACTACTTCTAGGTGAATGTGCAGTAACGGTGGGTTTCCCGCCTTTTGTCTCAGCGTCATGCTTACTGCAAATGTTTCCAACGCTTGCGATGCCAATGAATGGGAATCGCCAGTTCAATAAACAATATGCACTGATAAAGTTGCACCACTAACACCTCACACTCAGGGTTCATGAATTCGGGAACACGGATAAATGTTAAACCCTCGCGCTAAACCGTTCGAAATGGCAGTTCTTGAGATTCAAAGATTGAAGACTTGAGTAGAGATGAATCAAAAGTTTGTGCAGAGAATCAATTACTTGCCAGATTACGTCAGCAGGTTTCTTTTGAGGCCTTAAGAGCATTATCGTTCCATCAGAAGAATCGTGGAGCCAATAAACGACTATAACTAAAAATCTATGTTTTAAAAAAACTGCTTAAGGTAGTCCAAATGAGCAAAATTAATTACTGAGGTGTCTGGTGCTTTCCAGCACCACAGTTCCTTCTGTTCTCTGAGTTGTCGCTGTATGCTTGCCTTTAGTGTAACATTCTATTGGCCATCTGTTTGAAGATAGCTAGAGCAGATCCACTGAGCAGGAGCATAGTTTCCTGTGTTAAACGGCGAGAAACTAACGGTTGATGTTTACGCTCCACCTCGACATCAATGTGGACTCACACCTCATAATTCCAAATAGCTTCCCCAATGCGCTGAAAGTGATCCCCATTTTTAATCAGTGTTTTTGCCTTTAGAGGGATGAAGTTCTCTCCACTGTCGTGTCAATATTAATTTATGCATTCGATTGTGACTTTTTTACCTGCACCGACCCTTGATCCGTCATTACCCATGCAAAACTGAAAATTAAGATCCCACGGGATTGCAACAAATTGTCCTTTCAAAAAAGTTTTTTTT